CACCTGCTTGCTGCTACTACTGCGCATTCACCCAATGTATATACTATATATATATATAATGTTCTTCCTCTAACCCCGCCCCCCATTTTTGCACATGTCGAGGAGCGTGTCAGGCTACATTTCACTGTGTGTTATATTTGTATAACTATGCATGTGACAAATAAAGAACCTTGAACCTTGAATCTTACAATGCTGTGATTGCAGCCATTCCCCAACTCTCTGTGAATGGGACTCATGGTTATTGATCAGTGGGTTTTGGTCAGTGGTTGTTGATCAATGGTGATGAGAATTTGCATAATTAAGATTAAGGAACTGACCTCCCAGCCCATTGTTCCTTCAGTGGGCTGGTTTCAGTCATTATGCAAATGTCCTGTTTATAAGATTGAAACCTGCAGTCAGCTGAGACTGAAGACGTCACCTGGATGACGATGAAACGTTTCTCCCACAAAACACTACGTCCAGATGAACAGATTCAACTTTTCAAGAAGATTTTCAAGTGTTTCCTCTGCTGTTTATCAGCCAATCAGCTCTTTGCTGTCACACAGCTTACATCTGCAGGTGAGTCATCATTGTGGGTCTTCTATATGTTCATCTCTGATATCATAAAAATGTGATGGTCGTATAAGACGCATGTTTAAAGATAAGATATACAACTTATATGTTTAAATAAGTATGTTTAATGTTCACACACTGACTCCATGTTTGAACATGAATTTCACTGAGATCATTGAAGATAAAAGCCTCAAACTTTCATCATTCTTACCATCTAAAAGAATCAGGATCTGTAACATCAAACTGTAAGGGCTAGTTTCAATAAAAGAATCAAGCTGTGCTGTAAAGTCTCATGTTTGAAAGCTCAAAGGAAGAAAGGTCATTTTAATTCAGTTTTCTTGCTGATTAAATATGACAGGCTGTTTCACAAGAATAGATACTCTGATCCACAGAGAACAAAGATCTTCTGCTCGAAAGGTAAAGCTGAGAAAAATATTTAGCTAAATGTGAATATTTTCCATCTTTGACACCATCTCTGCTGATCATTCCTGGACCTGCTGACCTGGAGGAGTCTGATCATCAACACTGAGTCTCAGCTTTTCTGTCATCTGTCACAGTTCCTGCTGGACGCTCACTGAGGGACGTGGTGCTCGGTTGGTGAATGTGGAGGTTTGATGGCACATGTGAGGCCTGTAAACTATACAGAATACGTTCACAGACATCATGTGAGGACCAGCTCTGTTAGTCTGCAGATAGTCCCTCTGATAGAGCCCTCTGTGCTCCCACAGCAGGTTGATGTTATCTATGAGACTAACACCACAGACTGGTGACAGACAGGTGTGTGAGACCAGCAGACTGAAACTGCACTAAGATGAAAGTGTGGCACTTCAGAGACTCCAGGACCCCAAACAGATGCAGAACATCTGGTTTTCTGTCTTCATCCTGATGTTGTGGATGATGATGTCATCAGTAATCACAGCTGTGAGGCAGGATGAAGTGAAGACCAGGCTTCGATCAGCTGTGGTGTCATGGACCAGCCTGCTGTGGGTGGAGGTCGAGGTGCTGCAGGATGCTGTGGAGGAGGTGCTGACATTCTTGAGATGCCACCTGGAGGTGTATAAGTTTCCTTCAGGAGCCTGATCCATGTGAACTCCCTGGAGATGGGGACCAAAGACTGTCCTCCAGTGAGCAGACTTAGTTCATCCAGGAAGCTGAAATACTGGATGAAGTCCTGAGAGTGAGGGGTGGAGTCAGGACTGTCTCCCAGTGCTTCATACGCTGGTCCTGGGTTCAGATCCTGGTGGACTGAAGCTCACTGGAGCCTTTGGTTTGGTGCCCAGTGTGCTCCATGGATCTGAAGCCTGGGCTGGTCCTGACCATGGAGTCCAGATGTTTCTAGCTTTATTAAGGAGTCCAGGAACTGGAATGATGGCTGACAGCGGAAGAGAGTAGACGTGTATTCGTGAGCTCTCGGCGGTAGGCCCAGGAATCTCTCTTTATCCTGATTTGCCCTCATATAATTCTGGACCATAGTAAGAGGCAAAGTTACTAAGTAAACATCTCTATGGCAAGTTATAATTTGCGACACTCAAAACGAAAGAAAACGGCTAAAACTTCAGGGCACCTGAACATATCAGCAACAAGAAATATGGCGAATGGGGAGGAGGAACTGCCAATTAACAAACTACTCAATGCTATCAAGGAAACTAAAGAGGACCTCACGAACCACATTGACAAAAAAACGGCCGACATACAAACAACCCTGACGAAAATTGAATCCTCTCTTAATGCGCTTTCTGAGCAAGTTGAAGAGATGGAGGCGCGAGTGAGCGCAAACGAAGACGACATTAAAAATGCACGCAGCCGTGACGATAAAATGGAGAAATTGACAACGCAACTCAAAGACAAAATCGACGACTTGGAGAACCGCAGTAGAAGGTCCAACCTTAGGATACTGAACATCCCGGAGCAAGCAGAAGGCCGAGACGCTGTTGGATTTTTGGAGAAATTTATACCAGAAATCCTGGGGAATGATAACGTCACCTCACACATTACCCTTGAAAGAGCACACCGCGTCGGGAAGAAGTCTGACAGACCACGGCCTCTCATCGCTAAGTTCCTGAACTTCAGAGACGAAGAAAAAGTCCTCAGACTGGCTAGAAGTAGGGGAGAGATGACATGCGAGAATAAGAAAATATCGTTTTTCTCGGATTACAGCGCAGACCTGCAACGCAGAAGAGACGAGTTCCATGAAACAGAGGCTGCGAGAGAAGGAGATTGAATATGCTCGGATGTACCCAGCGCAACTTCGCATCAGGCACCAGGGATCTATCAAAATATTCTCCACTCCTGCCGAAGCACAACGTTATCTGAAAGATAAATTCAGTACTTTGCTGTAAATATACCGAGAGTGGCTAAAGTTTCAACCTTAGCAGCTGCCTGGGCCACCACTATGGTTTAGCTGAATTACCTACCTAATGTGGTTTTGTTACAGGGGTTTTTACTTTAACGTTTTGGGGTTATGTTTGGTCTCTTACCAAAAATTTTACTCACACTTACGCAACTGTTCACACAGCTCCCTGGTCTAGGCCGTATCTTACTGTTATACCCATGTACAGAGCTTCACCACATCGAAACGCACAAAAGCAGGAAAGTGTTCAGAAATCCCCAGAGTTGAATACCATGACACTCACCTGTCCAAGATATTCACATAAAAAACTTAAATTATGGTCCATCTAACTTGTATATCTTGGAATATTAGAGGGATCAATTCACCCATTAAGGGGAAGAAAATGCTGACATCCTTAAAGAGGCAGAGAGTAGATGTTGCTTTTATCCAGGAGAGTCACCTCACAGACGCTGAACATTTAACATTACGAAGAGATTGGGTGGGCAATGTTTTGTACTTGTAGATTGTGAAATAGATAGAAATAAGATAACTTTGGTAAATATATATAGGCCTAACTACGATGAACCTTTATTGTTTAACAACTTAATAATGAAACTGGCTACAATTGAGGGCCAGTATGTTGTGGGTGGAGACTTTAATTTGGTCCTAAATCCTTCTCTGGATCGGTCCTCACCCAAAACAACTTCACTATCAAAGGCAGCAACAGCACTGAACCAGGGTATGAAGGATATAGGCATAATTGATGTGTGGCGAAACCTTCATCCAGGACAGAGGGATTTCTCCTGTTTTCACCAGTACATAACACACACTCTAGAATTGATATGTTTCTCTTACCACAAAATATGACGGCAACAGTGATAGATTGCTCCTGCTTAGCAACTACTTTTTCAGACCATAATCCCATCAAACTCTCCTGGGCTACCAACATGTCGCAACCTGCAACCTACAGGTGGAGGTTTAAAAACTACATGCTAGGCTGGCTTTATTTCATATATGAACATTAATATTGAAATATTCCTAGATGCCAATGTTAAGGGTCCAATATTGAGGAGGGATACAGGAGGTAATCCAAAAATAACAACACTGACCCGGCCAGGTGAAGTCAAACGATGATTTGACTTCACGCGTGGAGGGACCAGCGCTGTACGCAGACAGCATTGATCTCTGACTAACAATGCATAAGCAGATGTTTTATACCAATAGGGCTTAAATTTAATGACGCCCCTTCAACGTCAAACAAATACAATACATACATAGGTTTCAAAACCACAATGACTTTTAACACAGTTTAAAAGAACATTGTCTCCACGGCAGGTGCTTCCTGTCATCCTTCTGACTCTCGCTTCTCCAAAACCTCAAGCCATGCTCTGCAACAAACTAGCAATTCTGCACGCACAAAAATGCAGTTGAAAGCAAACATGATTAACCTCTCACCTGTAAATGAGTCTATCTACTATGTGTGTGTGTGTGGGTGTGTACGTGTGTGTGTGTTCGAGGAGTGAGGTTCGATGGGTTCCAACAGAACAACATGAGGTGAACCCCATACTATTAAAAGATGTTCCATTTTTATGTACAAAAATATGTCTATCCAGGCTCACAATAAATTGATAATATTAAACACCTTCTGCGCCTGGCAGGAATCCCACTCACTTCTGAAAATAAATATCTCGTTTCTTAGAAGGACAGTCCTATGGGGCAACCCTGACCTCTCTCATCATATTGCTGACCCAATACTGCAGGGATGGAAGGACAGAAATATTCAAACTGTTGCTGACTTATACAATAATGATTCATTTATTGACTTTCAACAACTAAAGGAAAAATTCAAACTCACAGGACAAAGTTTCTTCAAATTCCTACAAATAAGAGACTGGGTCAAAGAGAAATCCAAAGGGTTATTCCCCGAGATACCAAAAGAAAGTCCTCTTGAAGCCCACCTCTACACTAAACCATGGAAGTCAATAAAAGGAATAGCATCTTCTGTATATGCTATTATCAATGAAAAGTTACCTGACTATAACAAAATGTCTATAAAAAGAAAATGGGAAACAGACCTGGGCCATGTCTATGAAGAGGTAGAATGGCACCATTTATTGGAACAGGCACAGACCATGTTAATTTCTACAAAACACAGCTTTCTGTTTGTTTGTTTTCCAATTTAAAAATGAAAAAATAAAGCTTATTAAAAAAAAGGGGGTCCAGGAACTGTGTCCTTCTTCAGTCGGGTGCAGGGTGGAGGTCTTTCATTCCATTCACAGAGTTTTCAGCTTAGACAGCCATCTGTCTGACAGGAACAAACAGTCAGCCTCATCATGAAAACACTAAAACAGCAGCAGTCAAATATCTGCATATTTTTACACTTTAATAAGACACATGAGAAATGTAAAAGTATCTTAAGACATTTTAAAAGAAATACTAAACTAATCATCCAGACAAAGTTATTTACAGTACACACAGGA